TATATATATATATATATATATCTTTTAATTAGCTTCTTTGTTATTTGCCTTTGTAATAATTACATTATTTATTGTCCATTATAATCTACAACTTTATTTATTTATTACTTATTTCTTTAAGTATTTATTTATGTTCATGTTATAATATTTTTGTCTATGTTATTTATTTCTGTATTTATTTTTAATTATGGCAGGATTGGTCCTCCATACAACCACCTCATAAAATAACAAAATGAAAACCGCAATTTTTATTTTTATTTTTTTTTTTTTTTTATATATATATAGAAAAACCCCTAACAGGGATAATCATAACCTTAGGGGATTTACTGTATTTTTTTTCAGTAACCATAATAAGATAATTTAGAACCCCAAACACGATATTTAAAATCTATTAGTTTAATTGTTATAACTACTCATCATCTTACATTAACTCAATCTAGAACCACAAATGTGATCATTAAAATTTAATTGTGGTTTATTTGCCCAACCCATCTTTCCAAAGCTAGGAGTAACAGCCAGGTATTTGCAAAGATGGCTGCCAAATAAAACAAACAACCTCTGATTTATTGTTCAGTGAAGCTGTAAAAAAAATTTACTTCACATAATTGTTGCTGGAATACCTTAGATAAAAAACAAATGATAGAGACACAATAGGATTTTTAGTATTATTATTATTATTATTATTATTATTATTATTATTATTTGTTCAAGTTAGGCCTAAAGCCATGCAGCTGAGTTAATTAAATGATTAAAAGAAAATCCTGATTGCACAACAGAAAGAGGATTTCTACAAGTTACAGTTTGTAAGTATGGAATTTTAGTATTTTCTAGATCTGGATAGGTATAGCAAATAATAAGAGGATCATCCATCCATCCTGCAGAATGAAGTGGATCAGAGAGGGAGGTTTCAATCCAGCTTGGAGGCGAAGGGCTTTGTAGTGTCCAGGGGATTAGTGTTGTAGAGTGGCAGGTGAGCAGGAGAGCATGAAGGGAGAAGATGCAGATATAGAGAAGCTGAAAGTGATGGAATTGAAAATAAAGGATAATCCAAGAGCTTCTTGCAGAGTAGAACTTGAACAAACAGATGCTTGAGGAGTTTGCAGTAGGATCAGATGTGTCTTTTCTCCTGATCTTTTTATATTTGCAAACACCTCTTTAATTTAGAGATAGACCATCGGCTTGCCAACATTTCTCTATCTGTATTGGCCTATAGGTCCATGTGTTGACCTTTTCATTGGTTCATTTAGCAGCCATGCTCTGCGATCATCTAAAGTGCATGCATTGTATCTCCCCTGCATTTTCTATGTAGCTAAATTGGGGACATTTTTTTCAAAAGCATGTTTTTTCACCATTTATGACCTACCACAGAACAAGCGTATATATTGTTACATGCTGCCATTTTCTATTCTTTTTTGTTTGTTTGTTTCATTGAAGCTCATTTTTATTATGGTCAAAAAATTAAATAAAAACCATCAAAATAATTATAATAATAATTTTATCCAATTAATTTCTTTGTGGTCAGTGCTGCCCCAACGTGTTGTTCACCACAAACCAAAATAAATCGTTTTTCAAGATCATGCAAAGTTCAATTTGAATTCCAATGTTTTTTTGTTTTGTTTTTTCTGCAGCACAGGAACAGCCAGCAGATGATTATGTAGAGATGACTTTAAAGCATCAGCACACTTCTTCTCCAGCAATGGACCTGGCTTTTTCAGGTGCAAATACAGGCAATGTATTTATGAACATCTCACAAAACCCTTTGGTTCATATTCTCTGCTAATGTAATGGTGCTGCTACTCCTTCTTGTCCTGTCTGGCAATGTGGCAATGCCTTGGCAATACATACTGCCATTTTCTGAAGCATTATGATGTGCATGACAACATTACAACCCTTGCATTCCAAGTGTGAAATAAGTTTATTTCACCTAAAAAGAATCCTAAAAAGTGCAATTAACAAACAGAAAAATGTTTGTTTGTTTTTACTTTTTTTTCTGAATACAAGCTCCATCCATGAAAAATTTGATGTAAAAAAGTTGAAAAAAAATCTATTTCAAAGCAGAAAAAAAGTATTTGGAGTTTTTACAAAAACTTTTGTAAACACTGACAACATTGTGAAAATTTGAGAAAAAACTTTATAAATATTATAAAATATTATCCACTTGAAAATTAAGTGTTTAATGTAGTGCAATCATATCCTTAAGTTTACCAGATACACATGAACACACTTAAAGGTTCACAAGAAAATGTTCAAACAATAAAAAAAATACAAAAGTCAGAATGCAAAACACAACAGGAGCACCCTAATGGTGCGTTCTCACAGAAAGCGGTGAAGGTAGTGATTTCCATGAGTTCACTGCTCTGCATTTCAGATGCACAGTGTTACACCCTGGACCGCTTTATCAAATAGGAGGAGCTTCAGCTGTGGGAAGCTGACACCCCAATGATGTGGGGGGAAAAAAAACAGCAAATAAAACACTTTTTTTTGATAAACATGACTGTAATAAATTCTGTTAATGCTTAAACGTGTTTCTTTTATGTGTACACTGTTAAACATCCCTTCTCACATTGAGCCGGGCTAATCAAATGATGATCGAACAACCTCCAAGTAGATGATCTGCAGTTCATAGAAAAAAATTAAAATAAGCATGATCTCACTACAATCATCAACAATAGATTTATACTTCACATAAATAAGGAGCTAGGGCTTTACCAACAAGTGCACAGTCCAATTCATTTTTTCTATCTTTTCAGCCACAGTTATCCCCACAGTGTTATGTCTACAGCCTTATAAATTAGGATAAAGCCATCATCGCCTAAAGGAAAGAATATAGTGAATATGTGGCCCGTTCTGTAGTGACACCTTGTAGACTCTACTTTTTGTCTTTTTGCCATACCCCAATTTAAAAAAAAAAAAACAGTTTTCTATTGTCTCATCAGGTTACTCCCCCAATGCATTCTGCTTTGTGACAATGAAGTTTAGAATTTTCACACTGGATGAGACAATATTTATTGCCACACAGAGATTTCAAAGTGACTCAGCAGCTTCTAACAGCGACAGAAAAAGCTCACAGCTGTTCTATTTGTGGAACATCTTTAACTCCTTTGTTCTCCACTGCACTCCTGTAGGAGGATGTTTTTTTTTTATTGACTACCTGTCACAGGAGAGTCAGAGATGACTCTGTGATGTAGGACAAAAAGATGCTTTGGTAAAACAACAAAAAGAGAGAGCAAATCCAAGTGAGTCAGTATCAGAGAATTATAGACTACAACACTTCTGCCACCTTTGTTTTAAAACGCTCCAGTGAAAGATTATTAATCTTCTAGGAAAAATGTAAAAATTCTTGAAGAAGTTAGATCTGATAGTATGTTGATAATATGAATGAATTAGAGCAAGAGCTGACACATCACCAGTTGTAGACGATGTGTTTATAGACAATTCTATAATTGTTTGTCAGGAACTTGGCACTGATAACTGGCTTAATTATTTATTTTATTCACCTGTCTAACCCCCTCCAGTTTCTTGTTACTGTTCATCTGATACACCTGCTCTTGCCTCTATTTAACCACTCCAATAGCCAGTCCCTGCTTTGGCTTCATCCTCTGGATTATCCTGCCCTTCGTCTGCCCAGATCTTGTCTCCTACTTGTTCTCCGTCCTCCAGGTCTGTAGCATCTGCCGCAACTTGTTGGCAGCTCACCAGCTGGATCCTACCGCATTCTCTGGGCACGGACTAAACTATTTAACCAGGTTAACGGCTAATGTTCATAATTTTCCTCCGCCAGATTTACGTGGTCACTAACCTGTGTTTCCTTTCTGCAGAGATTCCTGCCTTAAATACCCTAGTTGCTGTTATTCCAAATCTGACGTTTTTTAATAAAATCTTTTGAGTAATCTCAAAGTCTGTCTTGCCTTGAATACTGGGTCCTCTGTTTGAGCTTTGACATTTTTCTGTACATCTCCTTTGTTTTGAAATAGGCTGCAGACATCTACAACTGATATGTACTGTATGTTATTATCAATAACTTTTGCCAAGTGTTTGCCTCAAGGTATCAAAGTCAGTCAGTCATAAAGTCTCTGTGCTGGAAGAAAAACCTCTACACACTGCTGGGGAAAAAAGGTGTAGCAGGGAATCTCTGATAATGTGTGTTAATGACTATAGTGATTAACACATAGTGAAAACAACAAGTTCTCCACTGCATTCCACTTCACTGACCTGTCAGTAATTTCATAATTATTCCTGATTGCCTTGGCAGTAATTGTGTGGCTGCACTCCAAGCAGTTACCTGCCCACCATAAATGTGTTTTTCCAAGTTCAATATCTGTTTACTTGTTCTGCTTATCAATTAGCTAGAACTGAAGTGCATAACGTGCCCTTTTGAATTTACTCTTTGGTCTGTAATATAATTCCCA